GGGTAATACACGTTGACTCTTTAAAACAGAACTAGAATCGCAAACACGCCTTAATCTGCAGCCACAGCCTGACTTCAGATGGCACTAAAAAACTCAGCCATTTATTTCCAGGTTCTGTAGTTTATCTTTAGTAGTTAGAGGCTGTGCTGATTCTAATTCCTCTGCCAGTCGTCGTTCACCTCTGCATCTGCAGGATCATGCTGGAAGTGAGCAGCTGTGGGGGGAAAAAAACAACAGAATCTGCTGTAGAACCTCAGCAGAATGGCTTTCAGCTTAACCTCTTAAAACCTTAAGTGGGGGTACTAATTCAGAATGCATAAAATTCCACCGGTAAAATCTTTACCAGCAGGTGGAGCCATTGCGCGCAGCTCCAAGCGGATACCAAAAGTTCAAAGCCTCACAGCTCTGGAACTGTTATAGCTAGAGGCATTTGTGGTTGACATGGTGTAGAACAAATGTAACACAATAAAACCTGCCTTTTCTCAAGAATGTCTTTATTACTGCTATCATTTCCGTAAATAAAAAAAAACAACTTTGAGTCATCTTTGAACTGATGTAGCTTGGTCTGTATTCTACTCACCCAATTTATATATTCAGAAACTAGAGGGTGTTAGCTTTCAAATAATGTATCGCACATGTAATTTGCACTTACAGTTCCTAAGTTATTTGCTTTTCAATTTTGGGTATGCAAAATAGACAAGGATTACCCAAAATCAGGTGGATGTTAAGAGGTTAACAGTTTTCGCTCAAATCTAAACATGTTCCAGGCCAAAAACTATAAACATTTAAAAAGAGGCAATGAAAATGTCAATTCAACTTGAGATGGATCAAATTAATAGAAATTTTTTTGTTTTCTTTTCTAAATAAATATTGATTACAATGATTTTTATACCACGGAGTATTAGGCCCAGGCTAGAGAATTTCAAGAATAAAGTCATAACATTACCAGAATAAAGTCATAACATTACCAGAATAAAGTCATAACATTACCAGAATAAAGTCATAACCGAGAATAAAGTCGCAAAATCTTACAAGAAGCCCTTTCTTCCCTGAAATGAGGAATGTCGAGCATTATACTTTGGCTCTGGTTTCACAAATAAGGAAATCTTTTAGCACACCAGCTTTAAATTGGGCATGATGTCAAAGTGGACTTAGGTTGCTGTTTGGTGGA